TGCATCCCAAATATTTAAGTAACTGTTGTAAAAGAATAAAACCCAGATGGATCATTGCATCTCTGGATTTGTCAGAATACAGGGTTTCTTAGCAATGCATTACAAAAATTCTGATCTTCATGCAGCAAATTCACTATTTCAATTCAGCATCTAACAAGAACTCAGGAAAGGACATTTTACTGTAACCAAAGTTCTCATTTTTTATTTATTGCTGCTAAGCTTTTGTTGTACTAGCTTTAGCATAACTCAGTTTGCCTGCTACAGTACTCACACTAACTCAACCAAATTCAGCTCTGATTTATGCACAGTAAGTCATACATGTAACATAATGCTAGAATTCAAAAACATAGTCAGTGCAGGATCAAGGTTTATATCAACTTTATAATAGTTTTGCCATGGATTTGATCTCTGAATGAAGCAAAATATTAATATAATATGATGTTTTATCCCTATATCAAAATGGCATAAGAACCTTCAAATCATGGAAGATACATTATAACAAGTTGTATCTGTATATTGTGCAGCTTAGCTCTATCTGAAACAAAGTATTCATATTAAACACTTTTTAAGTAACTTTAAGGACCCAGTTTTGAGAAGCAGCCTCTGAAACTACACACAGTTTCAGTCAGGTTTTATTGGTTTCTCAATGCACACAAGTATGAAGTGGGCTTCAGTCTGATAACCAGCTCCCTAGGCTGCAAGCCCAATCACAGTCTGAGCAGGCGCTGAAAAAATATGACCTTGCCTATATACAGGTGAGAGGACAACATAGGAAGGCAAAGTGCAGACAAAGCTTAATAAACCCCTCAAGTACTCTTATGCCTATATTTTTCATTGAATGTACCAGTGGGTTTGAAAAAAGGATTTGGAACTAAGAAATTTCTCATTCCCCAGAGAGAGAGCTAACCAGCCCCTTTGTCCCACTCTCACTGCCAAGACAGACCAAAAGGTACACAGCTAAGAAAATGCGGTGGTGTTGGTGGTGACAAGATGGGCATGAATCAAGCTGTGTTCCTAGGTTAGTACAGCGGTTACTCATTTCTACATTAACTTAAAAAATAAGGTGATTCAGTATTCCTTCTTATGAGATACTCAAACGATAATTCCCAACAGCCAAGTAATTTGCTTTCCCTGCTGTTCTTCTCAAGTAGGCATTTGTTTCAACTAGGAGCTTGGGGGCACAGGCTACCATGGGCTATGCAGTGTAACTGATAGAAACATGCTGCCACTAAAGACCAGTGGTGCAAAGCTGGACAAGAATAGGGGGTTAGGCAGCAAGTTACTTTGGTTAGGTCCTGAGCGAAAAAGCATTTGCTCAGAACTGGGAGAAAACTGCATAAGCTGAAAACTTTAAGAAAAGATGACAGGGTCAGAGCTGGAAAGGACTACATAGAATCACATACTCCAACAACACTGCTGATTCAGGAAAGCATCTCTCTTAGGACTGTGAGAGCTTTCATTGTATTACAATCATCAATCAGATTTATGCAAAAATATGAAAGCCCTTTCCTGGACCAGGGCCAACACCTATGAAAGATAAGTCACAAGTTAAGGCACAACGAACTAGCAACAGCACCAGCAAAACAAGTGCACAGCTAATAAGGCAGCTGACAGGTCTACTCAGTGCTACGTACAGTGCAATTGTGTGCGTTTCCCTTGCTTTGTCTGGAGCCTGCTTTCGTTCCCCATTGTTGACCTCAGCTGCCCTGCTGCATGACTCGGGTTCATTTCCTTTGCTCTTCCACACCGTCTGCATGCAACTTCTGGATGTATTAGTCTGACTGCTTGTGGTTATGCTTGCTGGTGCAGACGGCAATCTGCAGGCCCTCGTTCTCTGTGACTATGCTTATTTCTGACTCTCAGTTTAGGTGCTTTACTTCTGGTCTGTCTCATTCCATAGACTTCCCTGTATTGGACAGTATTCCAGCACCACCAGCATTTCTGCTGCTTCCAAGATCATGTCCCAAAACAATCCCAAATTTCAGTGTCCTGCCTCTCAAGAGGAAGGATGAGTTTGGCACTTCCACTGTTTTTTCAGTGCAAGTTTTTGATTTAAGCCGCGCCCCTCTATGCAACATAAAGCAGCCCTTTGTTAGAAGCATAATGTTCTCACTGAATTTTAATCCTGAAACCTCCGTTTGTTTCAACTGATTGAAATTAGCTAAAATAAATCTATTTGGGGGCACTAACTGCATAGATCAAACAGCCTAAATTTTGGAATGTGATTCTTTCCTTAAATCAATGGTTCACAATTTCAAAACATTTTAAGTTTTCATTTTCAGGTCAACTGATACTAAATTAAATTTCACCAAGTTCAAATGCTACGTTATTATCTGATGTCCTAGAAATTTTCAAAGGCACAAATGAGAGTTAGGTTTTCCAATTTCCATTCACCTCTCAAGGAGTTTCTACCTCTCCAAAGTATTTATGTGGCCTCTATTAGCATAGTATCCAAGCACCTCAAATTTTTTATTGTACGCTCACAACTCCCCTCCGAATTAGGAAAATTCCATATCCCCATATTACAGATGGTGAACTCAGGCATGGAGAAACAAAAGCCCAAATCCTCAAAAGGAGCCCACCTCTGGCTGAGATCAAATTTATATAGGCACTTTTGAGGATTTGGCTCTATGTGACTTGGCCACGGTGACACAAAAAATCTGTGGCAGAGAAAGGAACCGAATCCACATCTCCAGGTGGAGATCCTATCCTTCTTTTGGGCACCCAACTTCCCTTGAAAGGCATCCTCTGAATTCATAAAAAAGGATCCTTCTCCTCCACTCTGCTAAATGCAGCTGAGTTTAAAAATCCAGAACCCCAGATTTCTAAAGAGCTGCATGCTCGCCTGTTAAATCAAATGTATGACTGAGAACTATGCTTGTAATCTTACAGAAGAAAATATTACCAACTTGTCTTTGTGACAAAACACTGAGTAGGTATAAAATTGCGACAGTCTCTATGCCAGGTTTTTTTTAAACTCTCTGCTTCTAAGATGAAAGCCTAATTTGATATTTTTGTAGTTATATAACAGTTCTAATATTTTGTGACATTTTGTATTGTGACACTATAGATGAAATTGTCATCGGACTGACACCCTTTACTGTTTATTCCTTAATTACAACTGTTAACAACACTGCAGAGAAGCGTGCTAATCTGCCATCACATATTATGAAAACAACGTTATTGTTACAAACACCAACACCCACTCAACAGGATATTTCTAAGATGGCAGTTTCTGTAAAAACTTATCAGTTTAATGGACACTTCAATAGAAAAAGTTTAAAATGAACTTTTAACATTCCCTCGAAAAATGTAAAACAATTTTCATACAGCTGAGGGGAATTTTTTGTTGGTGAATCTGAGAGCAATTTTAATTCAGCAAACAAGGCACTGTTCTAACAGAAAAGAGCCTCTGCAGATGCTGGTCCTCACAAACCATTCCCGTGGTCTCCAGCTGAGAAGCTGATCCCTGTTCTGAGGGGCCACACATTCCTCACTAACATGCCTCAGTGCTGGATAATTAAATCTTGTTTGATTAATTAAATGCACATTATGTTCTAGGTACCCAGCTCTCCCTTTCCTCACGGGGCAGAGTAAAGGGGCTGTGATCTTAGGTGATCAGACTGCGATGCTTATGGAAACACTGGCCAGGGAACATAATGCTATTCACTCCTAACACAAGGATCAAATATAGGGATGCAGGTCCCACCTCCCGCACCTGACCAGGAGGCTCCATCCCCTGCCACTAAGGAAGGGGATAAAGACTCACTGCTCCTAAATCTCAACTTGGCAACTAATTTGGTTAGGCTGTGGCTGACTGAAGTGGACTGTACACCCCCAATCCACACGACGTTTATGAACTGTTCTTATGCTAAGAGAGTGTTAGCCACCTGTATTGAAACAGAAATGCTATTTTTCTTATTGACTCAAGTGCAACAGCATGTAACCACTAGAAAGCAACAGATGCTGGCTCCCAGGCCCAGCAGCCAAAGTGCTGGCCTTACATCAAAGCAAAAAAGCCACCAGCTTTCTATCTTTGCAGTGGGGAGCTGAGGAGCTGTCCTGGGTCCAAGACAGAAAGCAAGCTCCTCACCTCCTGCACTCCAGGAGTGGGATGCTTGCTTCAAGATGGCTTTTTTCCTGGTTCTCTCAGACTCCCATGGCCTAACCCATTAAAAGAATGAAAGCGGCACAACAGTTGGCTTTAAACTAAGAGGGACTAAATATAACTGACTCTTGCTTTTTCCTTCAGAAGCTGCAAAGTGAACTTTATGGTTAGATTCATCCCAGATTCACACTGGCTTCTATTGTCATAAATCCAGGACCCAGACCTTAAATGGAAAATTAATTAGCAGAAGAGAGTATGGCAGAGGATAGAGTGACAGACGTTTCAGTTACTTATAGAGGATCAGCAAAGACCCCGAGAAGTTAGTGCTTCTGGCATGGTCTGGGAATGTACAGTATGCTCTGTGCAGCTCGATCACTGGAGTTTCTAAGGAGGCGTTGACTAAGCTATCCCCTCAGCCCGCTGTAAACTACCTGCATTTCCTAGAGGTAGGTCCCTCCATGGCACAGAGGCAGAGGCAAGGAGGGATATGAATCTAGATTAATTTAAACAAGTCACTTAAAATGTAATGAGGAAGGATTACAAGTAACCGATAATTCTTTCTGTCTTGAAGAGGTGATTGTTCTTGCTGGGCTCTCATACACCATTTTCCCTCATTTCTGAGCCAAACAACATGTTCAAGTAGTATTGTTTCTCTCACCACAAGCAGTATTATTATAACCTTTTTCAGCTAAAAGACTAAGGTTTAGCTGAACAAGTCCACATAGATACACAAATGAAAACAAACTATCAGATATGATTCACTTTCATCTACAATTTAAACTTTAGTTTAATGACCCAGTACTCCATTGCTTGAGCAGACTATTTTGTCCAATTAAGCCAGGAGACTATCTGTTTTGTTTTCCAGTTCTGCTTCTCCCTTTGGGTGACTTACGTTCTGTTTTGTAGGATTCATTTTCTTAAAACCAACAGGAGTTTGTGCTCTTCCTAACAGAAACTGCTCCCACTTGGGAAGAGCTTCTTCAACTGATGCCCAATAGACGGTCTAGGAAAGATATAACAAAAAGCAATTTAAACTTTGATTCAGAATCTAATCTAAACCAATTTCTCATAAAAAATATACACATGCAGTGTGTTAGTAAATGTTGTCTTACGTGTGAGGCAATTAAGAAAAAGGCCATACTACGTGAATATTAAATTTCAGATCCCACAACTACACAGTACAATAGTTGCTGGCAGGATTTCACTTTCCAGTGTAAGTTATGGAGTGACTGAATATGCCCTCTTGTGGCCGATGAGTAAGAATAGGAATTCTTCATAGTGGTTCGTTTTGTGGAACTGTAGTACATTTTTTATAAATAGCAACCTGACAGTTCCTCGGTTTTGAATATTAATATTAAAATCCTAATTTAGTGATGTTTTATATCTGAGGCAAAAATATATTTGGAGATTAATACTATAAACAGAAAGCATTAGAGGGTTCAGCAATTATCCAAATAAAAATAGTATTTGCGCTCAGTGCTGCAGGTAATAAATCCATACATAAACTGAAACCTAGCAGTTAGCGCTTTTGCTTAGAAACTAAGAGACCTGTGTTCAGTAGCTTCCTCAGTATGAGGAGGTCCAAACTCACATCTCCCACCTCCTAGGAGGGTACCCTAAGCCATCAGACTATGGGCCAATCTGCTTGAGGGAAAATGTGGGGGGGAAATCTCCACTCTTCCCATTGAAACTGAGTCACTGTAAAACTGACTGTGAGCACGATTCGGAAGTCAAGCGGCTATGACCTCACTTGGAAGGATGGAAGTCATGTTTCTAGACTTTTTCTGTATTTACATTTGACTGTTAACTGGATAATAATAATTAATGCCCCCCCCCCCCCCCCAACAGCAACACACCACACAAGAATAGTCATGAGAGTAGGGAACAGTACCTGGCAGCAATCACCTTTATTTAGTGCTCTAGTTTAAGCTGTTTTAGTCATTGTATTTGGACAGAAACATCCTAAGCACATGATCCAAGTGTGACCCAAAACTGGTATCACCCAAAATTCCTAGACAGCTTGAAACAACAGATTCAAGACGTATGACTAAATGGAATTTTGACTCCCAAACCTATAGATGATAATATATAGCCTAAAGAAGACAGTATAAAATAAATCAATTGCAATAATGTAAAACACCATAAAAGCTATTGTGATTACTGATGAATTTACTTTCGTATTCCTTTATTTTTTAAATGAAGGTTTTTATGTATCTGAACCCAAATTTCCACTAGCATGCTGAAGAATCTACACAGACCTTGCCTCAGAATTTAGATTCAGCTTGCTGCACAGTACACAGACCTGTGGCTATACCAGTCACTGGATTTTAAAATCAATTATTTTCACTAAGAGCATGCTTCAGGGGGAAAACAGTAAGATTTGATATACAGCAAATTGAAGAATAGAGTTTTACGACTTACTTCTAACTTAACAATATCAGGATGTGGAAGCTGATGTGCTCTTGCTTGCAGTTTCTTTTCTACAGCTTCAATATCCTGTGACACAGTAATCTTTGTTTTACACAGGTGATATTAGCAGGTAGCACAGACTTTATTTTCTTTTAAATGAACTTTTAAATGAACTTGGTTCTCCGAGAACTAAGTGCTGAACTGACAACCCTAGAAATGGAAGATCTGTTTAGCCGTAACTCCTGAAGCCTCTAAGTTTCACTTACAAAACTGATGCCCTGGTGTCTCTGTAAGATCTTGTCGCACTTTCTGGATGTAAGAATATCTTCCATTGCCACATCAGTGGCATAAAGTGGCATGTTATAAAAAAGCATTATGTAATCTTTCCAACCACCACCAGGGTAATTTACATTTAAACTATATTCTACATAATTTACAATGATACAGAAAAAGCCAAGTGGCTTCCTCAATGTCATGTACATGAACTCAAGCATGCATTCCACCTACTGTAAAGTAACTACACAAATAGTGTTAGAGATCTTTACTCCCAAGACAAAGATGACTTGCTAATATGCATGCATAACATGTGCACCAAAAATGTAGAGCCGCAGCAAGCTGTTCAACAGACATTCAAACTCAGCTGAGAATGCACTTCTTTTTGCTTTCTTATAATTTCTGTGCGTGGGCTTCCACTTGTCCAGTGGACATGTGCTGGGTTCAAGAAGGCCTACGCACAATTGGAAAAAACTCCCTGAAGTGATGGCCCTTTCTTCTGGGTTTAATTCTATGTCCAAACACTGAAGAGATTTGAGAGCAGGGCAAACAAAAAGATATGGAAAGGGGCGTGGGAGTTGGGTGTGAAGAAGCCAAAGCTGAACAGAGTGGAGGGGGGAGGAAAGTATGCCAGATGGCAGAGTTGGGAGCAGAGAGCGGGTGTGAAGTGTACAACATAAAAACTAAATGAGAAAGGAAATTCCCTCCAGGGACTTCCCAAATATTCAACACAACTGCAACTCAGAAGAAGAGTAAGATTCTGGAGAAGAGACCAAACAGGATTACTCACATGTGAGCTACCAGACTTACGCTACTCTACATAAGTAAGGGTTGCACAATCTGATCCAAAATGAGTGTAGAAAATGATTTTTTTTTTAATTATTTTTGCTTTAAAGCTCAAGTTCTTAATTTCAAAAAAAGATATAATGTGTTCATCTTTATTTAAAATGAATGCTTATATATTCCTTTTTACTTAGACTGTTTTTATAACGTAAGTATATTGTGTGTAGATGGAAGACAATAGGATTGCAGTCATCTTCCAATCCTTTTTTTTCCCTTTCCCATGTATCATCAGTGAGCCCAGTGCTGGTTTGAGATAACTACTGGATGTCTGTAGAAGGATGGCATAAGGTGCTTGCTCATTTAAACCCTGCAATGGGTAGTAAGCATAGACTAAAGGAATGCAGACTGATGCGTCTCATTCCCAGATCATGAGTAGGTAGCACAACCTAAGCCCAAGAAACCAAAACCAAAAAAACCCCTTATAAACAGGGATGGGGGTGAAAAGTTGAATCAGTCTTCATTTACTCCCATCTATCTGGGCTGTTATATCACAGCACATTTTCGCCTTTCCCTCACAGAAATTATCTCCGCTATAACATTCTCCTAAAAGTATTTTCATAAGAAGGGGTAATCCAGACCAAGTTCACTATTTTTGTGTTTACCAGTACCTAATTTTTCCAGAGATGTTTCTGATGGTAGGAAACAAATTACTTTTAGGCAAGAGAAACACCAGTTGTACAGATATGCTTAGTGAAGAAGGTCACATTGGCATGGCCTAGATATCAGATGCGTCTTCTTGTTGCTCCACTCCAGTTTGCGTATTTTGCAGTCGATTGTCATTCAGAATACTGATTTAATGACAGTGAAATAAATTGTGCTAGAAGGTACAGCATGCCTTGGGGTGGGGGGGAGGGAAGGGAGGGACAAATAAAAAACGGAGACAACTAAAAGATCAGGTGGGACCTTTGCATGTTGCTCATAGGTAGGAGGTGGACCTGCCAGTTTGGGCTTTTTTTAAATATGGTGTTGTGGATTTCTCCTTTCTAAACCTCTCATTTCAAGCCAGCAGTTCAAATATCTTTGGAAAGTGAATCTAGGATAGTAAGCAGTTGTCTATTTATAAACACTTTGGATACAACTGTCAGGGCAGGAAGAAAAAAATGTTTAAGTCCTTTCCCTGAGGTAAAATGGAAGTCATTACACATGCATTACTTTTAAGGGGCCAAATTCAGCTGTCACTAACACTAGCAAGACCTTAGAAAAATTCCATTTAAACCAGTCACCCTAGATTTATACCTCTGTAAATGAGAGTAGAACCAGATCCAAATTTTCTGCTAAATGCTAACTTTGCTACATCCCACATCATGCATTTTATGGTACAGTGATACATTAAGGCTTACAAATAACAAGCAATGGAAGTATTACATGTGGGTAATGTGGCTAAGTTTTCAGAGACAAGCATTATGCCCACAGCATTCATGAAGGAAACTTTTCAGCACTCTTCTGAAATGTAAAAACTAGAAAATAACAAGCCAACATCACCTTGGTTTATTATTAATTTTCACTGCTTTTTTTTTATTTGCTCGCACAAACTAAGACAGATTGGACATGTGTCCTGTTAATAAGATATGATCCTAATGGAAATGTGCTTTAATAAAAAATATCCTAACAATGCCCCTTTTAAGTAGGTTAGAAAAATTATGTTGATGATTTTTGTGGAAGTTCTGAATTCAACATTGATTACTTTAAAGTAATCTGATTCAAATGTTATTTTTTTTTCTTGCTTAATATACATAACGCAAACTAAATTTGAAGTTTTCGGCTGTATCCATTTTGGAGGTGTCTGAGCACATAATTTCATCTGATGTAGAAAAGGTAAGTGCCTTTTCTCCATGCTCACATAACTCAACACAAGTGAATTAATTTTGTTTAAACCTAGGGAAAAATGCAAATAAAAAATAACACTTCATCACGTCCGTGTGTTTTTGAGTAGGCCAAATCAACAACTCCCCACATGGTAACTGTGAAATGTACAGTGCTTGGTATCAGGAACAATATTCTGAAGCTGGCACATAAATCTGAGCCTTGTTTTCAAGGTTCTCATATATTATTCTATGCGGATCTCTTTCCTGTTTTATTTTGTTATCAGAAAGCATCTGCACTATTGCATGCTTGTTAAAGCTAGTATAAAATTAATAGAACTAGACTTTTTATGCTGCTTTGTCCTGCCAGACTATTTGTTCTCAAGGGTATATTATGCTTTTATTCCTTTTGTGAACACTAATGTTTTTGGCACTTAAGAGAAACTATTTTGAGGGATGCGATAGGAGATGGCAAATGCATAACTGCAAGTCAGTAAATATTTTTGCTATAGGTTTAGGATATCATGAACATTTACTCTTATAACGATCTTTTGTTTTAGCATGCACTAATATAACCCAATTTTATTAAGCTTGTCACAAAGCAAGTGCTCGTTTGGATTGTGTTCCTAAAATGCCTATGAAAAAGGATACTTATTCGGAGAGAATCCAAGAGATAAAATTTGCGGCGCTGGCACAAAGCCTGAGTATTCAGGCTTAGAGAAGTGGAATGCAAAGGGTCTATAGAGGCAAAAAAAACCCCCATGCCATGTAATAAAACAGCACCACACCCCCTCCATAGCAGCTAGAGAGGGCTCTGGGGTGCCACTGGACCTGCAATCCCTCAACATTACCTTACACACCCGCTTACGCAGGATCATATGAATACCCTTTCTTCAGCACAAACATGCATCTTCAATTGCCTACTCATCTAAAGGGAGAATCAGAAATACTTCAATTTGTACCCAACTGAAAAATGTGCAGGAAGGTGACAGAAACCTCAACTCCGAAAAGAGCAGAGTGGGTAATCTGTCATAACATGTTTTGATAATAATAATGATTAAAGAGAAATAATTTTCCCATTTCCAAAGATAACAGTGACAGGTTTCTACCCTTGGAAACTAAAATGCTTCAGGGATGTCTCTATAAAACAAATACACAGTGTCACTAAACAAGATAAGGCAAAACACAGCAGAAAAACAACAAGCAGAATGGAACGGCGACAATAAATATTTGTGTGCCTTTATTATGTTTTAGATTCAGAAAGGAAAGAAAGGAATAACACAATCTTTCTTTTAAACAATCAGAAACATTTCAAAAACAAAACACTTCTAACTGGAAGGAAGGACCGTGTCATCAGCCAAGGGTTGATTCTGGTCTTGAGATTGAATCTAAGCAATGTGGCTTAACAAAGGTGTGTAGAAGAGGTGAATTTGGCTGTCAGGCAGACATCCCCAATGGATACAGAACAGATATATAATAAACAGAGGACCACTTTGTATCATATCATATAGGTCTTGACATAATGCTAGAGTTTTAAATCTTCCCACAGTAAAAGTCTCGGTCTTTTTAAATGGTTGTTTCTACAATAAAATCTAGCAATTCTGTACCAAAAGGAACCAAAAAATGGATGACTTTCTAATCACTTAGTTTGCTCCAGATAACTGGCTAGACGTGTTGCAGCAAAGTTTGTGAAGAAAGACCTTGTTGGACTGGGTGTGCAGCTGTGGAAGAAACCTCAAGTAGGACAAGGAACTCCACATGACTGAAATACCTCTGAAAAGAATCTAAGAAGCATCTGCTGCACCACCTAGCCATTACAAGAATTTAGTATGAGGTGTATCAGTCACCAGAGCCTGAAGATTACTCGTATATACTTTATATTTTATGTACCTTAGACACTCTGCTACTCTCTATCACCCAGAGAGCCTTTCAGGAAAAAAAATGCAGACTAGAATGACTGAGGTTATCCAGACAAGTGCCCAAATAATTTGCCTGGTGGCAAGTTTGCAGAGCCCTCAAACTTTCATTACATTCACATATATTGGCCAAGTCTTATCGGAAATTATCTAGGGCAGAAACACTACTGTCACTGATGTATCCCCTACAGTGGGGGCCAGCAACACCTGGTACAAGACTGCCTCTTGAAATCATCCCATCCTTCTTTCAGGAGAGGGAGGGAGTTAGCCACTTTGGTCTGAAGTCAAGCATATGGTAGGGCAGGGTGGCATCTTGGGTTACAGACTACCTCATCCAGAAATGCATAAGCTTTCTCAAGCAACAGCCCACTTTCTCAGACCCGCACAGGACTTTTTTCCCCACAATTTAATTTGGTATTCACCCATAATGAGCTGACAGTTCCTAATATAGGCTGCTAGTGTATGGATTGTTCAACACTGTCTCCAATCATAACCCGGTGTCTTAAATCATGGTTAAAGGCTACTGTGAGTCAAGTCAACCTTAACATAGGACAGAGCAGTTGCTGGAGTACTTTTAACTGACAAAAAAATACTAGTCTTATACCTCCGTTCATGCTGGAAGTAAAATGGCAGCCTCTGCCACCAAGGCTTTCACAGGCAAGGCAAGAGTTAGTGATGCTCCCAGGTTATGAAGAGTTATGAAATTACTGCACAAGTTCCAGAAGGGGACTTTAAGGTACTAAGGTACTAAAACTCATCTGAAATGTATAATGAAAACATTTCTGTCCTCAAGTCTATGTAATGCCTCTGTTTTACCGTGTGACTTCTGGTAGTCACAGAAACTTACATTTAAAAGTGCTGCATTTCTTTTATAAGCTGCATCAGCTGCTTGTGCTTGCCATGTCTTTTCAGTCTCCTTGTTTCCTAGATGATTCTCCATCTGCTGTAGCAATACTGATCTCTGAGACAGTCTACAAAGAAAAACATTTTGGTAAGTGGGTAGAACATTTTGCTCAGTAGCTAGAAAATAACCTTTTTACCTTACTCAGTTCTCTCAAAATTATGGGCCTAATTAAGCCTGCTCCTGGGTGGGAGTGCTGAAGGAAGCAAAAGGTACAGGCAAACACCCCCGCTTGGCTCTCTTGCAGGGAGGCCGCCATGCTGCGGCAACCAGGGGTCCTCATGCACTAAGCAGCTTCCAAGCACCGAATTTCTCAAAAGAGGGATGACAGGGTGGACTGGCATGGCTTGGTCATGGCACTTACCCCTGCTAATTGTCAGTGCATAGACATTTTTCCTAAATCACTGTCATTAGGTATACTCTTCACACAGTAAGCTCACAATGCAGCAGTGATGCACTTATATTTTAGAAGTCAGTACCATGAGCATACATAACAAAAAGCTTCAAATGGTGTTTAGACTGGCAGGCTCTAATTACTCTACCTGTGCTAAAATTTAGTGGGAATATTGAAGTTCGCAGCCAAGACCTCAGATACACAGCTCCTCTGAAAGTTGCAAGCTTTTGCAGAGCAGATCCCTTAGTGGCAAGCTGGGACATGCATTCAGTACTTTACAGGGGAAGAGTGCCACCTCCTGAAACACCAGGCTCCTGCTAAAAACAATAGCACTCCCCCCACTCCAATGCAAATAGCCCAGTCCTGCCTATCTTGAGAGCTCTGGCAAGATCACAAGAAGTTGTTATGATAGAGGCTACAGTCTTGAAAGCACTTACATCTCTTCATGCCTTCTAGCAAGCTGAACTTCTTTTGCTAAGTAGGATGCCATCTTTTGTCACTTGTCAAGTTTGCCATGCTATGAAGGGAAACAAAGGGAGGTTAAAAAATAGGGTTTTGTGTTTTTTTTCTCTCAAAACAGACACGAACGCTTCCCTTTCAAGCATGTGAGACTGCAACATGGCAGACTTAAGGAGAGGCCAGGGGCAAACAACACTATTTCTCTTTCTTTCTTTTTTACTAAGAAAAAAAACCCACAGTTGATTTCTGAAAAAAACACGACGACCCTTTACACGCACTGTGCTTCACGCATTCCTAATTCATTCTCATAACAGCTTTCAAGTAAGTCTCGCTGCCCTCATTTTACACAGAGGAGAACTGAGGCTCGATTTTCGGGTTTCAGGCCCGTGAAAGGTGCATTTTTACAGCCGTCAGCTACTGCAGCTGCATGTGCAAAGGGCTCCCAAGTCTACACAAGTAATCATTTGAAAGAGTAGTATTCACTTTCTCTTATTTTGGGGTGAGACCTCAACATCCCATCCATTCAAAGGGTGGGGGAGGGGGGCAGGGTCTGAACAGCCTCCCCCCAAAACGGAGCGAGTGCAAACAACTGGCCCACAGATATTCAGGCACGTGGTTTTCTTTGCAGCATGTTCTTGCCCTCGCCTGGTTGAACCTGCTGTGAGAGGGAGGCACGACAGGGCCGAGATGGGTGTGAGGGACGTTGTGCCAGGCGTGGCAGGCGGAAGTGGCGTGTGCGTGTGTGGCATGCTGAGGTGGGTGTGACGGGTGTTGTGCAGATAGAAAACAACGGTGTGTGTGTGTGTGCATGTATGTGTGCACATATGTGTGTGCATGCATGCGAGATGCTATGGTGGGTGTGAGGGGTGCTGTGCAAAGCAAGGTAGGCAGCAATGGTGTGCATGCTGGTGTACGCACGTGCGTATGTGCAAGATGCTGAGGGGTGTGAGGGGCAGTGTGCCAAGCAAGGCAGGGAGCAATGGGTGTATGTGTGTGTGATGCTGAGGTGCGTGGTGCAGAGCAAGGTAGGGAGCAGTGGCGCGTGTACGTGTGTGTGTGCAAGATGCTGAGGTGGGTGTGAGGGGTGCTGTGCAGAGCGAGGCAATGGTGTGCACGTGCATGCACACGCGTGTGAGGGGTGCTGTGCAGAGCCAGGCAGGGGGCAGCAGTGCGCGTGCGCACACGTGTCTCTGCCCCCCCCCCCCACGGGCAGTGTGGGGGGGGCGGAGCTCCGGCCTTTGCCATAGAGGCCGAGCCCCCGCGGCTGTACCACTGCGGGGAAGCGGGGGGGAGCAGGGAGGGGGGACTGTACCACCCCGCGCATGGTTGGGAGATACCATGAGCAGAAGGGCGACTACCTCCAGGGCGGACCCGCCCCCCCGCACGCAGCGGCCTTTTCGGCTCGTCCGCTCACCTCCCCTTCCTCCGTCCGTGCCCGCCCCCTGCTCACGCGACGCGGGGCGCCGGCCCGCCATTGGTCCCTCCGCCGAGCGGGCGGGCTCAACCCGCTCCCTCCCCATCCGCCATTGTGATTGGAGGAGAAGGCGGGCGCGAACCAATCACGGGAAGGGAGCGGGGCTCCACCGACCGTTGGATTGAGTCGGTTGACCGTTGGAAGCGGGGCGGGGCGCCCTCAGTCATAAGCTCCGCCCACTCACGCAGTGCTCCCCCTCACTGGCAGCTGTGTGCAGGCCTGGCCCCAGGAGCAGGCCTGGCTGGCGGTTTCCCGTGCAAAAGGCAGTACAGCCTTCCCTGAGGGGCAGAGACACGCTGTCTGAGGGACAGTTGATCTCAGAGCCTCCCCTCAGCCTGCCATGGGCCCCCCCCACAGTTACTCTCTCAGCTTGTCGTCTCCTCACCTGGTTGCCAGAAGCCGCCACCCCGTCCTTTGAACGATTTGCACGATGGCACGAGCCCGAGAGACCCCCTTCCTCTTCCGAAAAGGGGCTCGCTTGGGGCGTGGCGGGGTCCGATGCGAGGGTAGCATCCTCCCTCCCTGAGGAAATCATCAAGGACGGCGTTACTTGTGGCCATTCGCGCTCGCAGACTCTAATCGTCTGTCTTAACGACCGCGGGATGCATCTGTATATCAGAAATCCTCAACCTGATGAAGGGTTTTTAAACCCGAAAACTTGCTTAAATATCTTTTTCTGGCTATTTAAGTCGATCTAATAAAAGATAATCAGATTCAGCCAAAGCACCTTGTCTTTATTTCTGCGGTGCACCGTTATTTATTTATCGACAGAAGTGCCAAGTTGCGTCGTGGGCATCGCCGTCGCTCGCCGGACGGATTTTGAGCACGCGTTCGCAGGAGTTTGCCCATCTGGAAGAGCGCGCATGTTACAGCCAAGAGCTGAATCTGTCCTGAGCTGTTAAAATATATTTAAAACTAATTACGGAGGCTGACCCCATGTCGCTAGAATCCAAGCGTCGGCGATCAGAATAAGCACCCTGTTTTTAAAGGCTCAATATAACCCCCATTTCTTTTGTGCGTCGAAACCAGACTTAACCAAGCACCGTTTCAAAGCTCGCTCCTTCCTGATTGTGGCCTGCTAGATTCACTCGCGCGTCCAGCTGCACGTAGTTTCTAAAGTTGGTCTGGACAATAGAAAGAGCTTGTTTTCCCAGTGTCTTTTGATATGTTCTCCGATCCCTTTCTTGGAGGCGTCCCATCACGGGCCTTTCTTACTGCACGTCAGAAGTTTCTTTTCTCGTGACTTCTCAGCTCTCGCTACCTCTTGCTTGGTTGTTCATTCTGCGAATGAGTACTTCGACAACAAACCTGCATTAATTTGCTCTATAACAAGTAATTAAGTAGGAGTCCTTTAAGGCAGTTGTCAACTTGCCCAGGTCTATTACAGCATTCTGGAACAAGTGTAGTTCGTGCATAATTTAAACGGCTTTTGCATCTCTGTCACTTGAATTTAGCTGAAGACCTTTGAATAACTTATTTGGGGGGGAGCGAGAGTCCGAGCAGTTCTCTCATTATGCCAGTGGCAAAACTCCCGCTGAATTCAATGGGAGCTGGATGAGGGCCGCAGAGTTCTGCATCTTTTTTTCTGCTTTCAGCTATACCAGTTTTCTTCCTTAGGTGGCAGTGATCCTTCTTTGTGGCAGTGTTTAAGGATTTTTCAGAGAGAATGCTGACAAACAGAACTTGGGTTTAAAAAAGCCCATTTTAAACATGCTGTGCGCAGAAAGAATGCAAAGGGAATGTTGCTCAAGCTACAGATGCTGTTCTCGTTAAGTGTCACAGCCAGAGAACCAAGGTGGAAATCATGATTTCCTAATTATTATTTTATATTAGGGGGAAATCGTTCTTTCAGTTTATAGCAGATCCAAATGTTCTTTCATGCTGGATATTTGGATTTTCAGCGTTAATGCTCTTTTTCATCCAGAGTACAACCTAACCCATACTTAGATTAAATTATGAAGCCGTTTCCTATATAAAGAAAGCTATTAGTAACAATTAGCAAACTGCAAACTGCTCTAAATGGACAGATCATTGCACCTGCAAAAAATATCTGCTCAGTCTCTCAGGGCAGACATATGAACTGAGGTCTCTTTGCTCCAGTTGAGCAAGGTACTTATGCACAGAGCTAATTTAAATGCTTTAATCCCAGTGACTTTAATGGGACTACTCACTTGCTTCAGGTTAGATACCTGCTTGAGTACCTTGCGCTGCACTGTATCTTCTTTAGATTACCACATTTGCTTCTCTGCAATTTTTTCTATTATCCTTCATGAAATCACAATATTAAACACTGAGAAGTTTTACAGTGTCTATCTGATATCTTTTGCAGAAAGCTTGCCCTCTTTGGCCCCCTTTTCATGAAATCACAATACTAAACATTGATACGTTTTAAAGTATTTGGTATCTTTTACATAAAGTTTGCCCCCTTGGGCCTTCTCTACACATTACAGGTTTCGGGCAATTAACTGGCATCAGATAGAAGGCCTGGAACTAAAATGCTCTGCATATGTCTGGCAGAATTGCAAGCTTCTCCACCAATTCACATGCCTGAGCTACTGGTTCTCATATTTTTTGGGGTTATGTTCCTCTTTTTTAAGTTTGTTATACTGTTGCATATCCCTTATTATCCTGTTATGGGTAATGAAAACAGTAACACTTGGGATGAGGATGAGCACACTGTATGTACCCTCTCCAACAACCTAAGATCTAGTCTAGAGTAGTTCATTTTATTTTTCCTGCCATGCATATTTCTTTTTTACTGCTTTCTTTTTCCATAGTCTTGCATACCACGTAAAAGTTTACTGCAGGGACCCCATTTTGACAAACACCACTCCAGAGTGAGAGAGACTGTCAGTCACTGACTTGCCATTTAACATTTTCTTTTGAACGTTATAGGTTAGGTGTAAATATTAATGGGTGTCCATGGGAATATTCATATCTAGAAAACACGTCTAGCACAATGGACATGCTTACTTCCATGCTAGATGAAAAATAATGTATTCAAATGAGAAAATTGATAATTTTTGATAAAATAGAACAGGTTAAACATTAAAAATAATGTGAACCTGTAAAGCCATCAGTACTTACAGTCCAGCATTGTAAACAGTTCTGAGCACACTATTTATTGCTGTGATAGTCTCATTGGTGCTTATATTGAAGTCAACTGGTGCCACAATGTGGATTAAGGTGCTTGACTTTAGGCACCTACATCCGAACATTTTGGCGCTCAGTTTTCTCTCCACCCATGGGTTGTCTTTTAAAATACAGTTAAAAATCAGCTTTTAGGGGAGAAACTGCATCATTTTAACACTAGGTGGCAGTTAAACACAACAAAAGACCCAGGTTTTTAAATGTAACACAAAAATAGTAAAACACATTCTGTTCTAACGTGCAGTTAATTATATTCTCAAAATGATGTCTTGGATTGATATTACTAAACAAACATGTATAAAATGTAATTACAGGCAAGTGAAATAAATAGTGTAGGCCTATAATTGCAAGATATGTTTTTTCGCTTGTGATACGGTACACACCTGTGCACAGTTTATATAGCTAGTATTTTATTTTGTCATTTTTACTAACATTTAACATAGTGCAGTTTAGTTTTATGTGGTTTTATTTACCAATACCAATTTGTACCATATGTCACCTTTTAAAAATAGAAATGTCTTTATGTATTTGGATTTCCAAATAAGAGAGATTTGCAAAGGAAAAGCATTTAAAATGTTTATATATATATATATATATACCCCCACTTTAAAAAGCTGTTTAAAGCATTTTGATCCCTATTTATTTAATATCTAAATATTTTAGATATCTTGTTTTCTGATAACTTTTTTTTCTCCTTCCTTCTCTCTTCCCCATTGGGACTGTACACCTCTGTTGCTATAGTAGCTCAATATCTTGGTGGATGCCAAACATCTATCTGTCCATATGCATTTCTACAGTGCTGTCACTTTTAAAATGTATCAGGCCTGTGGGACTTTGTAAGACCGTGAAATCCTATCATACCAGCTTGTGGCTTTCATCTTGGATTTTGTCATTTCTCCCCATCATCTGTAAGAATGGATAATGATCTGTAGCATTTCAGCAACCTGCACACGGGCTGGCCTAACAGGAAACAGCTTACTTTGCAGGATCTGACTTATAAGGAGTATGTAGTTATGCATGAAGCTGCTCTAATTTACAGTGGTTGTACATAGTTGTAGAATACAAGGTAAGCAAAAGGGCTCCAAGGTGAAGCAGAATTATGCACAGGAGGCTGCTTACTCCTGCTTTCCACTTGCTCTCTAGCATGCAGGGAGCCAGAATCAGGCACTTTATCCCAAAGTTGTCATGGTTCATATCAGGTTAAATTCAAGGCTAAAAGTATTTCACTGCGTCTCTCAGGTAGAACTAAGCAACCCACTTAATAGCATGAAGTTTTAGCAAAGGAAAATTCAGGCTGAACATTAGGAAAATCTGACTTTAAGATCTTTTAGGCTGTGGAACAGTTTCCCAAGAAGAGAGGTTGAATTGACTTGGAAATGTTGAGTTTGACTGAACAAAGTTTAAGACACCCCACTGGAAGGCTCAGTCTGTATATTTACAGGGATGCCATATGTGACCTACCAGATACTTTCTATTTCTAGGAAAAAGCTAGCTGTGCATGAGGACTTCAGTAAATGGTTTGTCCCTTGAGTAATGGCATTAGGTCTTCCCTCTAAAAGAAAAATAAAAATCTATAGGCCTCAACTGAATTTAACAGATGTACAGGTAGTAAAATGTTTCACAAGTAATTATAGAAACTATTTACAGTAATTAGCTTAGATTTAATCACTTCTCAGCATGTTAGGACTGTAAATTATAGCTTTATTTCAAACAACTCCTGTTGTCTGTTTTCCCTAAACTGAACACAGGAGAAACAATAAAAACAAATACTTGGAGATCCTCCATTCTCTATTCATATTTTGAAGCATGTGGGATGATGCCGATATTTAGCTTGCATCTTGTAAACAATGCTTAGTTTACCAG